GCAGCTCAACCCCGTTTAGCTGAGGGACCAGACACCGTACAGGCCTTAACGCTACAATCTGAATAGTACAGATCAATCCTGTGGCGCAACCACACAGGTACCAAGAACCCTGGTGGATAGAATATACATTGAAGAAATCATTAAAATACATCACGAGGCAATCCCTAACATAGAATCCTGAGGGGAAACAATAAACTGGAAGGCCAAAGAACACATTACATTGTGAATAGGAAGCAGACATGAAAAGATTGAATACAAACTACAAAAAACTGGAAACGTTTGCTCAGGACAATATTGGATGGAGAGTTCGAATGGATGACCTATGCTTCTTGACAAAGTGTAACAGGCTTGAGTAAGTACTAAAGAGTTGTTACTGAATAAATTGACTTCGATTAAACATGTATGAGTTAAGTTTTTACGGTGGCATTATGTTTTATCAGCGGCCCTATATCTGACTCCACTTGGATTGTATGCTGATTGCCATCGAAATATACATGTCACCAATCCCCGTTTATAATTAGTAACTTAACTCACGTTAGTGAATAACGGATTTAATATAATTTAAATACGAGAATGAAGTTTTGAATATTTGATAAAATCGTTGATCATAATAGATAATCAGGAAGTCGGAGCAAAAGAAGCGAAACGGATCGGAGAAGGCATGTTAGTTAGCTCGACTTAATCAAACGTGAATCGATATTTATAGCCGAACAAAAATAAGTTACAGACATGTGATGAGTAAAATAAGAAATGCACACACGTACACTCTTATAAAAAACAGTCAAAATTGTTAAGCGAATAGTTAACAAACTCAAAATGTTTTGAAAAGAGCAAGAACAAAGATTCTAGCAGAATAGCACGAATTCACTTTATTTCGTTGGTTCTTGTCAGCTGCTTACAACCTGTGATATTTAAAAATCATAATTACATAATGGGTTTGAATTGCTTACATGAGAGGGTTTATATTGAAGAAATATTCGTAAAGTATAACATGGGTGTAAATGAAATTAATAGGCTGAATATTGTAAATATTTACCTAATGTGAAAGAATATTCTAGAGCATTAATTGTGACAACAGTTCAAAAGTGGGTTAGAAACAATTGATTACATAATGAATAAACATTGATAGGAATGTAGTGAGTAGAGTTCAGTTGAAAGATTATTCATTTGAAAGATAGTTGAAAAAATTAAATTAGAATCAATGATGTAATAAATGCAACAGAAAAAAAACGTCTTAGAACAAGGGAAAGAAAGACTCTGAACAGTGCAATCACCAAACATCTCCTTGATACAGGACATCAGGTAGATACCTTACAATCCTTTAGGGTGATTAGTAAGCAGCCAAACTCCAGTCTTCTGAAGTTTGCTGAAGCCGTTGCCATCAGGCGTCAAAAACCTGACCTATGTATTCAAAAGGAGACGTTGGTTAATCTTTCCTTGCCCTGGTGACAAATATTCCTTCACTGCACCTTAAAATTCTTTTTCCTTTTTTCTTTCTTTTGCATTTATTACGTCATTGATGTTATTTTATTTTTTCAACTGTCTTTCAAATGAATAATCTTTCAACTGAACTCTACTCACTATATTCCTATCAATGTTTATTCATTATGTAATCAATTGTTTCTAACCCACTTTTAAACTGTTGCCACAATTAATCTTGTAGAATATTCTTTCACATTAGGTATATATTTACAATATTCTGTAAGCAATTTAAATCCATTATGCAATTATGATTTTTAAATATCACAGGTTGTAAGCAGCTGACGAGAACCTACGAAATAAAATGAATTCATGCTATTCTGCTAGAATCTTTGTTCTTGCTCTTTTCAAAATGATAAAGGGAACTATGTGTATGAAAAAACTCAAAATGTGCCCGAAGAAGGATGGACAAATTGATCTGTCCGAAAGCTGGAATAAGTTCGGTGGGCTTGACATAGCACTCAACGCTACAATGGCATTTTTTAGCTGCTTGGCATTAATTTCGACTAGCAATTGCTCATATCTACCATTTTTTACAGGAATTAATTTTTTTCAATACGAATGTCAAGACAGTTCTACTGTGCGGAGCTTAAACCTGGAGAACTACTACAACTATCATCAAGAAGGTACAAGTATTTATAAATAGTTGTCGACCTAAGATACTCAACATCCATTGGCTAAATACAGTCAGCAACAGCCTACTGAGAACAAACCAACTTTCAGCTGAATAGGAAATTAGAAAATGATGTTGGAAGTAGATAGGAAATTCATTACGGAAATTACCAAACTGAATAACGAGTTAAGCCCCAACATGGAATCCTCAAGAGAAATCCAAAATTGGATGACCAAATAACACATTACGTCGCGAAATAGAAGCGGATATGAGAAAGATGAATAATAATTAGAAAGACTTAGGAAAGATTGCTCAGGACAGGGTTTGATGGAGAATGCTCCTAGGTGGCCTATGCTCCTCCATGAGCAGTAACAAACGTAAGTACGTACGTAACACGAATAATGTAACACATTACATCATTCGTTAGTAATTCATTTAATAATTTCCTTAATCACACATATGAATCTAATTCCAAAATTATTGTACAGTCTTAGTCTTAAAGTATAAAGAGAGTGGGTGCTTCACGAATCAAATAGTTACTGCTATACAAATAGATCAACTTTCAACTGATATATCTGTAATGTGAAATAGATAATGTTTGTATATTTTTCAAAGATTCAATTTCACATTATAAACAGTATCGTATGATGAGTTCTTCGTTACTTGGTACTTGTTAAATACATGTTATGGACACAGGACATAGATTAGTTTATCAACTATTTCTGTAATAACTTATCAATGTATTTTATTAATTACTATGAATTTTCAGATGGGGTTTTGTGGAGATATTAGAAATCTCACTGATTGAAATCATGAGTCAACTGAGGCTAGATGACTATGGAAAACCTGGGAGCACTGGGCGGCCGTTTCGTCCTAGTATGGGACTCCTCAGCAGTGCGCACCCCGGGAGATTCGAACCCAGGACCTATCAGTCTCGCGCGCGAGCAATTAACCATTAGACCACTGAGCTGGTATGCAACAGTGTGATTGTCTAATTTCAACCAATCCACGAAGTTGCGCCACCGTACACCATTGTCATCAGTGAGTTGATACCTCACAACAGACCTGGTTGAACCCCACTTGTAACGGCTTTTCACTAGAACTCCAGAAGTATCTCTTGAAGTCAGTCACTAGTTAGCAGATGATTATTATCAGAAAGGTGCCGGCTCAGTGGTCTAGTTGGTTAAGCGCCTGGCGCGAGACCGGTAGGTCCTGGGTTCGAATCTCTCGGGGTGCGGGATCGTGGATGCGCACTGCTGAGGAGTCCCATACTAGGACGAAACGGTCGTCCAGTACTTCCAGGTCTTGCTTGGTGGTCTAGCTTCAATTGACTCATGATTTCAATCAGTGAAATTACTATGAATTTGTCGAAATTCTCTACAAACCGAAAATAATTTTTCATCATTAATTGATATCATCTGAAGAATGTCAGAAAATAATAAAAAACAAAGAAGCATTATAAGCAAAGATGGATAGTAGCTAGCAGTGAAATCCAGTTTGACGAGTGTTTCGTCCTATTCTGGACTCTTCGGTTGGATGTACGTGCACCTCAGAGTTCATGTTTACTCTAGGATTCGAACCCAGTTCTGTTTGTTTTAAATGTTATCGCATTATCCATTTAGCTATTGAGTTCTGTTAGGTAATAGTTTGTGCAATGAAGTGAAGTTTAGATTCACTTGATATTGTCTAGTTGAAGATGACGAGCCGCAAATAAGACGAAACGCACGTTCTAAATTCCACTACTAGCCACCACCCATCTTTGCTTAGAATGTTTTTGAATTAAGGCAATATCGAGGCAATACATAGAAGATACACATATATCAATAAGGGACTGATCAATTGAAGATCTAAACGTCAATAGGAAGATTCAATTAAACAATACCAAATAAGAAACATTAATCCTTATTAAAAAACGGTACACTTCTAAGTAAATCATTCGAATTCCTAAAAATCTTCAATCAATGTATTCGGTCAATATGATCGTCATATTATTAGATGGTGACAACAGCAAAAATTTTTTTTCATTTTTACTGTTTATTTAATTTTACTTCAGGTTTAGAAATTTCTGTTTAACTATTTGTTTATAAAATAGTTGAATTCATAAGTCAATGAAAGCTAGATCACTATAGAAAACCTGAAAGCATTGAATAGCCATTTCATCTTAGTATGGGACTCCTCACAATAGCAATACATATCCACGAACCCGCCCCCAAGGGATTCGAACCCAAGATCTATTCTATTTCTTTATGAATAAATCCAATAGATCTAATAGAATGGGTTTTCTGGAGATTTTTTTAGAAATTTCACAGGTTGAAATCATAAGTCAATTAAAGCTAGATCACCATGGAAAACCTTGAAGCACTGGACGGCCGTTTCGTTCTAGTATGGGTGCGCACTGGTGAGGAGTCCAACAATAGGACGAAACGGCCTTCCAGTGCTTCAAGGCTTCCTATCGTAGTCCAGCTTCAATTGACTCATGATTTCAACCTGTGAAATCTAATAAACGTTCTATATAGTCAATATATCAACCATATACATCAGTTATTTAACAAAACTCTCTCTCACACAAAAAAAACGAAGTGAAGCTTAGATACAAAAAATCAATTTTATGGAACAATAACCTACATGAATTCAAAATATGAACATCATAGTCGATCATTCAATATTTTAGATGAAATACAACCCTTATATGACGTAATCATCGGAACAAATACAAGTTACTACATGACGACGTTTAAATGAATTGAAATGAAAAAGAAGAAAAAAAACGGAGAAAAAAAGAAAAGAAAAAAGAAAAAAAAACAAAAACTGAACAGAAATTATATTTGTCATCATATGGATTTATACATTGTCATAAATACTGAATGAATTCTCTTTAATTCTTATTTATGAACATGCCGTTTTGTAATCAAATTGATGAATGTTGATTAGTTGCATGCATATCTTTTGGTTTCTCTATATTTTGCCATTGACGATTACGTTGTAAAAATGCCTAGTTTAAACGTATACAGACATATATAGATACAGATATTATGACGTAACCGATAGGTAACAATAAAGCCATTGATTATTATTGAAAAGTGTATAGATATTAAAGAGACAGTTAGTTAACAACAATATGAAATAAATATCCATATGAATTACACATAATTGACATGAATTATACATGCAAAATGATATTCAATTAAACAATACAGGCATTAGAGAACATTTTGATTTGTATTTTATATTTAAACAATAAATGAACAATAATGAATTACATGCAGTAAATAAAAAAGAGAATATAGAAGAAAAACAAAGATAAGTTTAAAGTTGATGATAATTCAAATGTCAATTTATGATATAGAATACTTTGGAAAGATACAGATCTATATATGTTGATAGTTGAGATCATGAGACAATTGAAGCTCGTCCACTATCATGGAGAACTTGAAAGCACTGGATGACTGTTTCGTCCTAATATGGGACTCTTCAGTGGTAGTGCGTATCCAGAATCCCATCTCGCAAGATTCGAATCCAGGATCTATCAGTCTCGCATGTGAGCGCTTAATTGTTAGAACATGAAGCCGGTATTCAATGGAGTTAATGTCCAAATTTAAGTAATCCATGAAATTGAGCGACATATCTACCATTGTCATCAGTAAGTTACTTTCATACAATAACTCCATTGGTCACTGATTTCTACTACAACTATTAAAATTACTATAATATCCACAAAACTCCTTCTGATATATATATGTCTTGAAATTCTCCGGCTAACATAGTGGAACTGTTCGGTGAACTCTATCTGTGTTTTACGATAGATAATAAAAGATATTCAACTTGAAGTTCTTATGATTTTTTTTGTTATGCCATTAAATATCATTTATATGAACTTCTCAAGGTTATTATCATTTCCTTGAACAGAAGTTTGGGGTTTATTTAGCGAGTAATAGAAAGAAATTTAAGTCAATGATCGATTTATTGCTGATCTTCTTCATCTACTTTATGTAAATCTAATTTGACTATAATATTAAGTCATTTTAACTGAATATAACAATATAAAGTCGTTTGATTATATCCATTCTTCATAATAAAGTATTGAAAATAAAGCCTATTGACTGATGAAAGAGAATATTATTTGCATTTAGTAAATGAATTCATCAGCAGTTACTTTCTACTGGTTAGAATATGAACTAGCATAAAGCAAAAATCAACTTAGTCAAAGACTTTGAAGGCTAAGTGAATATTTCACAATGATAGAATATACAATGAAATACTTGAACTCCGAAGAATATTCACTAGATGTTGAGTCGGCTTCCGGAGAACTTCAACGGAGCCTCCAGAGGCCCAAAAGGAGCCGAAGGATCCTAGTCAATCATAGTACGATGGAACGTTCAAGAATTCCAGCGTAGCATGCTATTATTGGTCGGTAGCATAATATGACGTTAACGGATTGGCTGAAATATGATGTTGATTTAACAGACCCCAACATCTATAAATACCCTTGATTTTCTTTACAAAAATGAACCTTGGGATAAAGTATTTTCTCTCATCCTTGTGTCTTCTCTCTGGTGTTCAAGTCGCTGTGTAGTTCTAATCTGCGGGTTACCAGATAGCTTAGGAAACTAAATATAGCGTTCAATCGACGAGACGTATCACTAGAAATGGGTTTTCTTAAACTTAGTTCGTTGATAGAAGAATGAAACTGAAGGTACAATCTGAAAGATCATCCTTATTTCAAAAGAAAACACCATTCATGAATATCGAATTTAAAGGAGATACTGCTGAGAAAATGATCATAAACAGGATTGTAAAATGTTAAAAAAATCAATCTATGTAGCGAAGCTTTGAATTGTCTTCTGCATGACCTTAGTTAAGGTGAAACTTCCGTTTAAGGTCACAGTAATCTGTAACTATATGTATATTCACTCTTGTAAGGTTAATTACATCGACCGTACCAAATATATGCTTTCTAAACATACCTCAGAACATAACCAAAAGTAGCTTTTGAAAGGCGATAATACGTTGATATTCAGATATACAATATACTATACTTAGTCGATGACCATTGTATGTCTTTGAAAGTGTATATATTTAAAAAGAAATGATGTATAAAGTTCTGAACTTGGTTATTATTCAATTAAAAATTACTCTACCATTTAGCAGAGTCGAACTGATTTCCATCTGTAATATCTTCGATAATCCACGTACATTAACTTCACCAGAAACAGACTTATGAATCAATAATCAGATTAATAATAATAATGATAGTGATAATAATAATAATAATGAGATGGACAATGACTATCAGTAGAATCCAAGATGTGTGTTTCGTCCTATTTAGGTACCGTCATCTGGATGTACGTGTATCTCAGGATTGACGTCCGACCCGGGACCCGAACCCGGCACCGTTCGCTTCAAACACCATCGCGTCCTCCACTTAGCTACTGAGCCCTGGTAGCCACTTGATTGTGCAATCGGGTGAATTTTGTTTTACTCAATATTGTTTTACTTGAATCTTTCGATTGATGATGAGGATTGCAATTGATCAGTCTTTTATTGGCATATGTGCATACTATATGTATTGTCTCGATATTGCCTTAATTCACAAGCATTATATGCAAAGATGGATAATGGCTAGTAGTGGAATCCAGTTTGACGTACGTTTCGTCCTAATTGGCAATATCGAAATGCGCTGATCAAAAAACTGATCAATTGCAGTCTTAAACCTCAATGGGAAGATTCAAGCAAAACAATACCAAGTGAACTTATATTCCTTCCTTACTCCTTGATTATTGTGTAACCTCATTTGATATTAAGAATCTCAAATCAATTGATGATGCAATCTTTTCTATGCTTCTATAGACTTATATTTTCCATGTAACTATAAATATGAATGTACAGTTTAAGGGAATGGTTTCATCGAAAAGGAAATTATCATTGTCGAATCCTCTATGTACAAGAAAAGCATCCAAGTACTTCTTTGAAATTAAAGTATATAGTATGTTAATCGTAGATAATAACTAGTTAATTACAATACTAGATGTCAGTGAATAATATCAGTAATGCTAACAAAGAATGGTGAAATAAATAGAAGAATAAATATATTCAAAATATTCTAAAACTGATTATGTAATAGGATGATCCTTAACAATGACATAAAATGCCAAAAAACACTATCTATGTATATATATTCAGATAGATGAATAAAAAGTATAGAGTAATTACTGTACACAGAAGTTATAAAGCAAATTAGAGCCTACGTCCGATTCAATGAACATATTCCAAAGGGTCTGAGATCAAATGGACTAAAGCATTCAGCAGCGCTATCACAAGACATCTCCTTGACACAGGACACGAAGTCGATATATTTAACTCCTTCAAGATAATCAACAAACAATCAAATTCAAACCTTTTGAAATTTGCCGAAGCGATAGCAATCAAACGTCTAAAACCAGATCTATGTACACAAAAAGAAACAGTAATAAATCTTTCTTTGCCTTGGTAACATTGACCCCCCTCCTTTTATTTATTACGTCATTCACTATTGCAATTCTTTCTGAATTTTTAAAATTACATCATTTGTAACTGACTGATTTCAATTCATATCTTGCTTTATTACCATTAGTCTATTTTTAGTTACTTCTAACGTGTTTTTTTGAGGAGCATTGTAGGCACTGTGAAAAAGGGAATCTGCTTTGAAAGTATTCGTTGAATGACAAGTTACTGATTTTTTAGTAAAATCTAATAACCGTTATTTCGAAAATGACTTTTATCCATGTAAAAAGTAATTATACTTTTTGTATATGTAGAGCCAATGAAATGTCATTGAGCCCTAGTCAAATCATCCGGTAGTCAGGTCAGTAAATGTTGAACAGTTCATCAATCTTCGACAAGGTCAAGAACAATCAACGCATATCAGTTAACAGCATACCATGGATTGGTTCATGCAGTAACGGTTGCACTCTGTTTCTTATAACTACTAACTACTAATAAATTTCAGTAATAACGTTGTATGTGTTTTACGGCTATCAAAGCAGGTTTTGTACACGGATACAACGAAATGGTAATCTTCATTAGGTACTGACCATGAAGTATGGCTTCGACGTTAGCTAGTCAATCTCACCATACCTGTCTAACTCGAGTACCCCCTCCCAACCATTTGATAACGATCAACTACGTTTCTAATTCACATGTAAAACAACTGATTATTGATAAACAATACAACAAGATTACAAAGAGTGCAGGGAAATCAATAAAATAATTTGTCAAAAATTAAACTTACCCTATAATCTTTATCCTTCTGAGTCATTTCTCGTCTACGTCTACTTGCCTAAAATGTTTAATCGAAAACAACCACATAAAAGTTGACTTAACTAATTCTTATTTATGTAAAGCAATTAATAACAATCTATAATACCAATGGTTCAAGTTACTTACTTACTTACTTACGCCTGTTACTCCCACTCTGTCCTGGGCCTTCTTTTCTAGTTCCATCCAATTCTTCTTCATTTTTCTCATGTCTATCTCCATTTCTCAGCGTTATGTGTTCTTTGGTCTTCCTCTTTTCCTTTGACCTTCAGGATTCCATGTGAGGGCTTGTCTTGTGACGCAGTTGGGTGCTTTCCTCAATGTGTGTCCTATCCACTTCCAGCGCTTCTTCCTGATTTCTTCCTCCACTGGGATCTGGTTGGTTCTCTCCCACAGTACGTTGTTGCTAATAGTGTCCGGCCAATGGATCTGAAGTATTTTGCGTAGACAATTGTTAATAAACACCAGTATTTTCTGGATGATGGCTTTTGTAGTTCTCCAGGTTTCTGCCCCATACAGTAGAACTGTCTTCACATTTGTATTGAAAATCCTGACCTTGGTGTTGGTTGACAGTTGCTTTGAGTTCCAGATGTTCGTCAGTTGTAAATATGCTGCTCTTGCTTTGCCGATCCGCGCCTTCACATCTGCATCAGATCCACCCTGTTCATCAATGACGCTGCCCAGATATGTAAAGGTTGTTACATCTTCCAAATCTTCTCCGTCAATTTTGATTGGATTGGTGCATGTTGTGTTGTATCGAAGAATCTTGCTTTTCCCTTTGTGTTTATTGAATGGCTCAAGTAAAAGGTAATTATTCAGATAATATACTAGAATAAAATTCTATTTCCACGTAATATAATCACTGGGATGTCAGTTAGTCAATAAAATACATGTGTAAATTGTTTACAGTGAAACAAAACACTATCTTTTATAATATTTGAATTTATGAATTGATTAAAGCTAGACCATCATACAGAAGCTGGAAACACTAGACGTCCATTTCTTCCTACTTTGGAACTCATCAGCAGTGCGCGTCCACGATCCTATCCCGTTGAATTCGGACCCAGGACCTTCGGCTGTCAAGTGCTACCAGGTTTTCCATGGTGATCTAGCTTTAATCGATTCATGAATCCAACTATTAAAAATAATTACAATATCCGCAAAACTCCATTCTGATACTTTCTTTTTGTTTTACAAATCATCTGTTAATAACGGAAATATTTAACCGTAAACTTATTTAGATGAGAGGAATTAATTCAATACATCATTCAACATAGGATTTTCATGGTGAACACTTTAATTTGTAGGTGATATCCATCACTGATTGATCCAATTTGTGATATCACTAAAAACTGGGGAACACTTATTCTAGTGTGGGACTGCTAAAGAATACACACCGCTAACCTCAACTGAAATCAAACACTAACAAATATCAGTATGGGATTGTGGAGATTACTAACTTTTTGATTGAGATCATGAACCGATTGATGTTAGACCACAATTGGAAGTCTGAAAGCACTAAACGTCCGTCTCGTCCCACTTTGGGATTCCTTAGCAGTGCACATCCACGATCCTGCTGGCGGAATTCGAACCCAGAGCCTTTGGTCTCGCGCGCAGACGCTTAACCTCTAGACCACTGAGCCGGCCAGCATCCAATGGTGTTAATATCTAACCTCAACCAGTTCACAAAATTTCACTACCACCTTCCATTATCTGAGGTAGATACGTGTTTCTACCCTACACGGATTATCTCCACTGACAAATATGACTTTCAAATTTGAAATTTATATCTTTACTTAGATAATAATTGTATGTATCCATTCTATGCCTTCTATTAGATGCTGAGTTCTAAAGTTTCCATCCTAAGAAATAATTTTCCATTTCTAAATCATTTTTAGTAAAGTTAATTTGATAGTTACATTTATTACTTTAATATTCATTATGGACAGCCTGATGCTGCGCAAGGTATATATCAGATTCTGTGTTGTAAAACACCCAACTGACTGATTAATGAAATATTCCACTGGGAAACCTGTCATTATTTGATCCATAATGTGATAGTTAACTTAAATACACGTCCATTTAGCAGTAAAGGCTTTATACAGTGATTTATTACAAAATCAATATACAATATATTAAATTCAATCTCAACTCAATGTTCTACATAATTGGGATGGAAAGATAAGAGTTCAGTGAATGCCCATTCAACACAAGCTTTTGATGCTAACTGTTGAACTTCAAAGATAAGCATTCATCTAACACACTAAGTAATCTTAAGTTATAAATTGATATGGATAGTTGTTTTCCTTTTTTTTGTTTGTTACCTAAGTACGGTTAACTTATACAGTGATAAACGGTAGTTAGACGGAAAAGTATAGTGCAACATTAAAAGTGTGTATAATAAATAATGAACCAAAGTACAAAAAAAATTAATAAACATCACAACCAGTACACTAATCTATTACATTTGGATCCATTTTATGACAATAAAAATTCAATGATAACCATCTTGATATGCTTTTCAGTGGGTTTTTTTTTAGAAAGAAAAATACTAATGTTACATTTGGATATGTTTATTGGATAATCTTTAGAACGATGATAAAATGCAAGGTTAAAGAAAATACCTCAAGGGAACAAAAGAAAACGTTTCAAGTTATTTTCCTACTGGGACATTGCGGAAAGTGCCTAACTGCATCACAAGGCAAGCCCTCACTTGAAATCTTCAAGGTCAAAGGAGAAGAGGAAAATCAAAGAACATATTACGCCGAGAACTAGAGACAGACATGTGAAGAACTAGAAAGGAAGGCCCAGGACAGAATGGATTGAAAACAGTGGAGATTACTTGTTAACATAAGTTTAATGTCGAATTTACACTATTTAAATAGACTATCGGTTACTAGTATGTTATTTTCCATTAATGAAGAAAAGCCAATACGACATATATATATATATATATATATATATATATATATATATATATATATATATATATATATAGGCTTTCTTAACATGTTTCTATTAATTTGGATCTTTAGTGGCCCTTCATTTAGATATCAACTAGACCGGACGATGTTGTCGATGGGCTCATCACTTTAGAGGCCAGGGATATGACTCCAGTTATATCGCATGCTTGATTGCTGTCGAATTATACATATCGTCAATCCTCGTACATAATTATCGATTTAGATCGCATTAGTGAATAATGGAATTATATAAGCCAAATTCGAGAATGGATTTTCCAATACATATATTTTATACAATTGTTGAGCGGAACAGATAATCAGAGAGACGTAGCAAAGGAAGGGAAGAAGTGAGCGAAACGATGCGCAGTGTAGAAGGCATATGAGCCAACTCCATTTAATCAAGCGTTAATCGATATTCATAGTCACACAAAAATAAGTTATAGACATGTGGTAAGTAGGATAAGATGTACACACATATAAAAACAGTCAAGGTTCATAAGTGAATAATTAACGTTAAGAAGAACGGATAAATGGACCTATCCAGAAGCTAGAATAAAGTATATAGGCCTAACAATATCAACCAACACTACAGATCGTTGTTAACATTGAAATTCATGATATGCATTTCATATAGTTAACCATCACCAAATAGGAATAAGAGCAGGTCCTAGATTCTATTTCTAATCACAATCCAAATATATCATGATTAGTGTAGAGTCTATAATATGCATATATATATATACCCTAAAGATCTTGCTTTTAACCTTACAAAAAACAAGACAGTTATTCAAACTTCAACTATTCTTTGGATCATTTTCGACCATCACCCAACAGTAACTACGGTAAGAATTTGTACCTTTTTTCTATTCCAAAAATAAATTCTATTTTGGAGTAAAGAAAACTGTTTTGACTAAGTCTTAATTATATTTAACATTAATATTACATTTCTATTACAATGGAATAATAGTATTAATAATCACTTAGTAATTAGTTAATACATATGTTTAAACAACAACAACAACAACACTCATGCACTTCAAATATACAATATTATGTTGTTGTTGCTATCGTGGTTGTTGTTGCTATCCTATTGTTGGTGTTGCTGTTGTTGTTGCCATTGCTACTGTTGTTAATAATTAGAATGCAATTAAATTGTATCCAAGTCTATGCTGACATTTTATGTCTTTTAATTATGTCAGACAAACATATGGTACTTATATCTATGTCATCTTTTAATTCTTTAATTATACATGTGTTCATTTCCAGAAGCCATGAAATTGTATTATTGTTATCATAAATCTTCAACAAAATGACACATTTTTATATGTTTTATAAAATAATCTTATTGTAGTGTAGTGACTTAGCTTCGTTTAATCAGTCACCTTGATAATCATGTTTGAATTTAGAAGATAATAAGAAGCGATGGATGTAGTTTATTTTAGCGGACAGTACAGGTAACAAAGTTATAAGCACATCGAACGATTATGGAACAGAGAGAAAAATGTGTGTATATAAACGAATACAGAGGTAAATTTAATAATCAAATCATATCAAGGCGCAGCTAGGTAAGACAAAGGCTAATAATAGGTTTCGAGGACATATAGACATGGGAACAAGAATGATTCATCGAAAGATATTTAAGAGATTAACATTTAAGCTAGAGAGAGATATGTAAGTAGGCTGTCACATGTGATCAAGCATACACCTTTAGACAAACATGATAATGATCATAATAATACAAATAAATAGACGAACTATTACCGTCCGAATAACACTGTCTGTTAAATAAGTTAATAAAAGGGTTTGATCAAAATGAGTGTTGGCTATAGTAGTTCCCTTTTTAACAGGTTTTATTGATTATTAAAATTTATCGAATAGGTGTCATTTTAAGTTAGAGAGTAATTTTTTTTTAAATATCAATGTAACCTGTTATGAATAATGAATAGGGACAGAGTGCGTTGGAGAATGCTGGTCGATGGCCTATGCTCCATTGGGAGTAACAGTAAGTAAGGATGTTCCTTCTCTAGGATCATGATTATCTCAATTAAACGAGAGTATTTCAGTCTTTTATTTTGGGCAACTGTAACATTTTTTGATCCCGAGAGAGAGAGAGATTGAGAGTTCTATCCAGTAATTCCTGTTCACAGAACATTAATGAACGTACTATAAGTTAGTAGTGAGTCGAATTCATTTTACGATAAAACCATTTTCATTATTACTATCTAAATTCTTTGTTAATATATTAGACCTCATTCACATACATGTACGGTGAAGCTTTAAGTTATTCTGTAATGAACAGAAACATAAGTTGCGACAGCTTGTAAATACCATATGTCCAATACTTCATTTGAAAAATGTCCATCAACTGTTTTAAACGTTATTGCTTCTTCATTTCCATAAAAATCACTCTCTATACCTGTTCTCTTCGATTCAATCTTCCCAATTTTCTGCTCCTAGACATTTCATTTCTGACTAGTGTCATATACTACTTATATCAACATAAGTACCGCACACACACACCATAATATGATGCTGATAACTTAACAGAGATTAGGTAAGATTTAAATAAAATTATATTACAATGTATTCTTTTAAATTAACAATTTTCCCCCAAGATAACTTACATCGAAATAAAGCCAAAATATAAAAATTGCATGTGCCAATATATAAATTGTAACAAATGATGTGAATACATGTTTTTCTATTTGTTGTACCATTTTCCAATCGGAACATGCCATACGATTAGTCCGACTACATCCATTGTTTTGTTCTTTTAATAAAGAGTTGAATGTTTGATTAACAGGTGTTGCCGTTCCTGTTTTAGATAATAGTGTAAAGGAATCATTCTGTAATAGATTATTGTACATAGACGGAGTAGATAACAAAGACAATGGAGATAATGATGAGAGATTATGCAATGAAGGTAATACATCTGAATTATTCATTTGTTCTGATAGTTGAGATGTATTTGAAAATTCTAAAATCAAAATTAACATAACAATAATGAACTATTTAGACAATAATATGTACTTAAAAGACTTACATTAAACATTGCTAGGTTATTTGTAAATTGGCAAGACTATAATTTATGGACCAACCAATCAGACATAAGATAACACATCACGGATTTTGGCGCAAAATTCATTCATCTATATGGCTAAATAGAGTTTTGGCATTCTACCTGATGTCGGTTCGTGATGAAAACCCTAAATCTAACTCTAACCCTAACCATCAACTGTAAATCATAATTGAAAATCCTCATACTGATTTATAACGCTCATTTAGTCCTATTTATTAGGTGGACACTCTCAAGGTCAGTCCAGTGTAGCTCAATGGTTGTCCATAAATTATAGTCTTACCTGATGATGATTAAAATTAAATAAATAAATAAGAGGCCTTCTCTAGGTTTGTTACTGACATTCTATAAAATAACTGATGCAAGTTCATTATAAACTATTCCCATATTAATACACATAGTTCCATTCGTTAATGTGAATGAAGCAAACAAAAAGATTTTATTTGAGATTATGAATTGATCAATGTTAGACCACTGTTGGAAACCTGGAAGCTCACGGAGGGTTGTTTTGTCCCAATATGTTAATCTTCAACAGTGCCCATCCACGGTCCGCAATGTGAGATTCGGATCCAGGACCTTCGATCTCGCGGGTGGATGTCTAACCTCTAGATTACTGAGACAGTATCAATGCCTATCTTCAACCAATTCACATTTTTAATGAGAGTTTTCAATGATAGTCTAGCATTGATCGATCCATAAACTCAGTCAAAATTCAACAACCACAACAAAACTATACTGACAAAATGAATTTAGTAAAACTATATGGAACAATTTCATTTCATCATATTCTTATCAGCTGCTTACAATTATGCATAGATGTTAATATATCTATCTAAGTAAAAATGAATAGATTTGAGTGTTTGTAATCATTGATAGATCAAAGAGTTTATTCAACATTAATCATATTGAGAAAGAAGTGTTCCAAATAAGGACTCATACGAAAAGACTGATAGGAACAGAGAAACAAGAAGACTTGACAAACTACGAAAGCTATTTTACGGGACGTTATTTCATTTTATGAAAAGCTTGTAAAACATTAACATTTACTTATGTCCCTAGTCTATTCTACATATCATAAGCTTTCGTTTGATGTATGATTCACTGTCGTAGCCCTTTTTGTTCCAAATCTATTGAAATTTAAACTGTTAGGGATGCAGAGGAATGTATCAATCATTATCATGTTAAGTCTAATGATGTCCTTGGAAGTCTAAATGGGCATTCCCCATTGGCCATTATTTATTTCACTCGTTAAATATTGTACAGATGTTGTTTTCTATTTTTATGGTACGATGTGGTCTGTTTGGTTGGTATATAAACAGAGTATGTTTGAAATATAGCGATTCATAACTCAGAGGCTGTGACTTGCGTTCTAGACTCGACGGGCTGGTCTAGACAGGGAAGCGGGACCGATCGGGACTCTAGGTCGTCCTTACGTGTTTTACGTGTCACTGATTCGATCGATAAATACGCTGCGCATCTAACCTGCAATCCACCCGTTACAACATAAACATAATATTTTGTACTCTATTTTCTACTCTAACTCCCAGCTTTGGACATAATTGTACTTTTCCTAATTATTGTACGATGTGGTCTGGTTAGTCATCTATTGATTCATGCATCTTTTTACACTGATCCGAAATCAGGAACCAGATCGGAATTGGGAATGAATAGAGTAGTGTTCCAGTTGACCTGTCTTCTCTAATTCGCGTTCTTGTCAGCCAATCAGGTGATAGAATGGTTTTCTTCTCTATACCCCACTTCGAACTTACGCGTACTAGACTCAAGGTTAGGTCGGTCAGCCTATCGCATCAACGTCTTAATCTGGATTAGCCAAATTATCCTCAGCACTAAAAGTGGTTAGACAGATCAAATACGTAACAAAGACTACTTCAGAAAATGAAGCAAAATACTAATTAAAAATCATAGAGTGAAAAACTCAACTGATTATATAATCAAGTATTTGAAATCAAGTTGAAAAGAAAACTATGAGAAGGGTAATAATGATATTACAAATGTTTCTTTTGAACAAATGAACTAGATTTTAAGTGTTAAATAGTTCTAGTGTAGTGAATGAGAACACCAGTGAGGACAATCGAGTACATTTCAATACAAAATTATAGAACATGTTAGTAAAATCTGAGAACAATACAGTGAATAATGTTAACCAGTTATCTCAGATTTAATTGTTCCTTCACTTTCACAGTAATCATTCACTTTGCTCGTTCTTTTTTCTTCCATCTTCTTAACCTTCTGCCTTCAGGCATTTCACTTTCGATTAATGATACATACTATTTATAGCTGTTGACATCAGTAGCACACACCAAAGTAGCTTCAGTAAATTTAAGTGAAATGTTTGGCGGCAGACGGTTAAGAAGATCAGAGGAAAAAGAACGAGAACAGAAAATGATTGGTATGAAAATGAAGGAAAACTGAAGTCTGAGACAACTGATTGACATTTTGCAAATGAAGTATTTATTGTATGGTTCTCATATCTTACTAAGAGATTCTCTAGTGTTGTGTTGAGACACATCCGGTTGTTCTCACTGGTGTTCCCTGTTATGTCCTTTGGTCTATATACCCACTTTTGGTGCTGAGGATACTTATCTAATCCAGATTAAGACCGACCTAACCTTGAGGCTAGTACGCGTGAGTTCAAAGTGTGGTAGAGAGAAGAAAACTATTCTATCACCTGATTGACTGACAAGCACGCGAATGAGAGAAAACAAGACAACTGGAACACTATTCGATCTACTCCCGATACCTTGATTTCCCTGATTTTCAGATTAGTGTAAAAAGATGCATGAATAAATAGGTGACTAACCAGACCAAATCGTACAATAATTAGGAAAAATACAATTATGTACAAAGCCGGGAATCAGAGTAGAAAATAGGGTGCAAAATATTATGTTTAAATTACAATAGCTTCGGAACAGAAAAGGGTATGGCAATGAATCATACACCGAACGAAAGATTATGTTCTGTAGAATAGATTAGGGACAAAAATAAATTTTAGTGTTTAACAAGCTTCGCATAACATGAAATAACGTCCCTAAAATAGCTTCCGTAGTTTGTCAAGGCTTCTTGTTTCCCTGTTCACATCATTCTCCTTCGCTATATTTTCATGAATTATGTATCCCTGAACAAGGGAAGTAAACTTAGAATTGCTTAGATGTCAACAATGGAGCTTTGAATTTATCTAGATATCCATATCACGGTTGAATTGGATAGTTTTAAATAAATTAAGCATTGAATAGAAGGTTAATAAGAATGAAACAATTATATTTTTGTAATATCCCTGTGATTAGAAATTCGAATTTCTGACGTTTATATAGACCATGTAAACTTGTATTAATTCAGTCTGGTTATTTCAGTTATTTACTCTGAAGAAATAACTTACATTAAGTTTTGAAATGTTAGGAATCCAAAGTTTTACTTACTGCAATCTATCTACTATTTCTTCCTTAATTTTCTGATGAAATCGACTTTTAAAGCCCATTTCTATTCCTTTGCAGATGATCTATGTCGAGCGATTGGAGGCCTACTCGAGTTAGACGAGAATGGTGTGACGAAACAGCTAACTTCGAATTCACACCTCGCAGTCAGCATCTAACGTAGACTACTCCTTAGACGTATTAAAGTACTATGACGGCTTTGAAGACTGTATAACACAGAGTTCGTTATTACAGAAATATATCAGTTAATGTAGATAAAAGCGAAAGTGAAACCACCGCTGCATGGGCCAGTCCATGTCGTACGATTAACTGATGCGAGTTGATTGTCCATGACCTTGATAAGGATCGATGATTTGTTCGATATTCAGTGACCCAACTAGGATTCAGTGACACTTCACTGACCCTACACATTTATTATCTTGACATTTTCGTGTTGTATCCTATATAGTATTTCTAACAAACATTTCGAGTAGTACTATCATAGTTTAGTTTATGTTCACTAAATTGAATCTTCTCAGTTCGAATGAAGTTTTCGACGAGACTATGATTTATAAACGAACCAATCACATTTAAGATAGGAGTACTTGAATTTTGGCGCGAAATTCATTCACTCATTTGGTTAAATATCATTTTGGAATTACAGCTTATGTCAGTTTGTGATAAAAACATCAAATCTAATTCTTAACGCTAACGTCCAACTGTAAATCCTAATCCTAATTCCTTCACACTAATCTACAACCCTCATTTAACCCTGGTAACTAGGTCACATTCCAAGGTTATTTTAGCGCTGCTCAAAGGTTGTTTATAAATTATAGTGTTATTAAGTTTTCTTATCCGAATTGTCTCTTGTAACGGACCGAATTTAAATTAGTCTTCGTTTAGTTATATTGGTGCTAAACGTAAACAATCGTACAGTTTATGTTCGTAACATTCATATCTTCAATTGAAATTAATGTGTATTATTAGTATGGGGTTATGGAGATTCTTAAATGTTATTGAGATCACGAATCAATTAAAATTAGACTTATACATCATTGGATCGTGGATCAGTTTTCCAGAGGTTGACTGTTCACTTGCAAGATCGAAAGTCTTAGAACCGTCAGGAATTACTGTTTAAAATTCCCGTACTAAGACGAAACGATCGTCCAGTTCTTCCAAGTGTTCACTGGTTGTTCATGATCTCAACAAAAGATATAAACTATTCTTTAGTTTGTTCGCTTGTTTATTCATAAATTGATATCACTCTGTGTTAAAACATAAACCTACGTTTTATTGCTTACTGATAGTCTACCATAGAAATAACAATAACAAAATAAATGTGTATATATTGTTCTTACTGTAATTTGATATTTTCATTTGAGAATGATTAGGAATAGACTGTATTGATTCTGATTTATTATGATTAGGAAAATATAATCTAGGGCTTTGATTTGTTGTATTTACATTTAAATTCGGTGAAATAATAGCAGATGTAGTAGTTGCAGTAGTATTAGTAGTACTTGTAGTAGTAGTTGTAGAAGTACTAGGTAAAGATGATCCAAATCCAGGTGAATCGGGTAAATCAAAATCTAAACCAATCAATGTAACAACTGCATGCCAAATACTGATTATGCACAGAATGAATAACGACATTAAAACATACTTATCCTGAAAGTAAAAGAAATTGAATACCAAGAAATAGACAATAACTTTTTATAGCAAACACTGAATGTGCATATTTATTGAGTAGAAAAATAAGAATCTTCGCTAATCAATCACTTCAATAACCGTTATAATATAAAAATCTCAACGGTGTTTAAAATCAGAGAACAATGAAAAGCGGCAACTACAGTTTATTAGCTGATAGCGCAGATCAAAAAGGTAAAAAAATATTTCACAAAACCCTCATTCCAATAATAATCATCATGTGCTCACTAGTGACTGTCTTCAAGATGGATTTCCTGAAGTTCTAGCGAGAAGCCGTAACCAATGGAGTCCGATCGGTGTTAGATGAAGACATCGGATGAATGATTGCTCAGGATCATGGATTGATTGAAGTTAGACAGTAACACTGCTGGAAGCCGACTCAATTGTCTAGAGGTTAGACATCCACGCGCGAGACAGAAGATCCTGACTTCGAGTCCCACATGTGGGATCACACATACATACTGTTGAGAGTTCATGAACTAGGACGAAACAATCGTCCAGTACTTCCAAGTTTCCAATGATGATCTAGTTTAGATCAACTTGTGAATTCAATTATTAAAAACTTACTTTTTAAAAAATTTTATTCACCTCATTTGACAATATAATTAATCATGAACATTGAGTTTAGGATTCTTCTACACATACGTAACTACTACTCTATAAGATCTATAAGACTAAAAATCCATATAGAAGTCAATAATAACGTATTGTTAACCAATTGTATTTATAGACAACTATCTCATTAAAGAAACTCCGCCTGAAGTCCCCCCCCTGGGGGTTACTGCCGGTCCGAAGCCCGGATAAAGGAGGAGGGTTGGGCATGGGGTTACCGACCCCATCCGCTAGAAAACTAACTGGCTAAAAAAAACGCTAACCAGAAAAAATTATTCAAACCTTTTAACAGGCGAAACATCTCATTAAAGAGAAAGTAAGTTCAGTAAAAGTACAAACATTTACTAAAAATGTTTATTGTTTCATTCACTATTGAATAGGAAACATTTCAACTATGGATTTACCAAATAAACACAGGTTATGTCAAAAACATAATATAACAGAAAAAACTATAGAAAAACAATTTATCATCATAGGTATCTATATATATACAGGGTCTAAATCAAAATATAATTACGTCATAGAATTTCAGTTTAATGAATTCACTAGCTCAATAGTTTCTTATTTTTTAACAGTACAAAATTATACATTGATAATGTAATAAGAAGACGAAGATTACCAGAACTATATGATGATATATTACTTTCTTACTTACGACTGTTACTCCTAATGGAACATAGGCCGCCGACTAGCATTTTCCATGTATCATGAGGCGTCATAACTGTTCTAAATGAAGACCTTCTGACTCCCAGGGCAGAGTTTAAAAGGTTTGAATAATTTTTTCTGGTTAGCGTTTTTTTAGTGAGTTAGTTTTCTACGGGATGGGGTCGGTAACCCCATGCCCAACCCTCCTCCTTTATCCGGGCTTGATACCAGCAGTAGCCCCGGAGGCACTCCAGGCGAAGTTGTGATGATATATTAGCGCTAGATATTTCGAACAACCTGATTACACGTAATATACTTGTTAAGCACATTTATATATAAAAAAATAAAAGTTCAACTAGACTGGAAATGGGAGAAAGAGGAAACGAAGATAATAATAAGAGTAATCTATCAGTTCACCTGCTCTTGTGAAGCAAGGTACATTGGCCGTAGCCAGCGCTTGCTTTCACCTCGGATACGGGAAAATATCCCAGCTTGGTTCTATTAGGGTGAAAGGAAAGCAGTTAGGAGTTCTATACTTCAACACCTAATTGACTGTAACCATTCCACAGATCCAAAAAATGAATTTAAGGTTGTTTATATGATTCTTTCAAATCTACGCAGCTTTCTTCGCATCCAACTTTTAAAAATAGCCGAAGCTCTTACCATCCAGGAGCTTAAACCGGAACTATGCGTACAAAAGAAGTACGTCTTATCGTTATCGTTACCTTGGTCTTAAGTATTTTGATTACTCAATTATTATTATTATTATCATTATTATTATTATTATTATTATTATTATTATTATTATTATTATTATTATTATTACTGAATTCCCCCCTTTACTTATGTCTTATATTCTCATTGTTTTATTCGCGAATACTCACCATATCACCATATTTATTTTTACACCTTATGATCTGTTTCGATTATATGTTTAGTAATAGAGGATGATGGATGTTTATCCTCTGCTCTTATTGGGTCACTTGATTCTATTTGTTTCTGCAACCATTTTGGTATATGTTCACACACGCTAATTTTGAGATCACGATTGCTCCTCCCTAGGTATATGTGACCACAAACACACACACATAGTTAAATTGGTAAACACAGTGGGATGTGAAACAATCGTTTTCATGTCTTTTAGATTTTGGATGAAGCATGCACCTTGTTCTTTCTTTGATAGTTCTGATAATCTTCGTCTTCTTATTACATAATCGAAATTCATCAAAGGAACTCATTGCTTTAATGTTTTTGAAACATAATTATACACCAAGAATATAAGATATTAACTTGACTTCAATTTGTTGAACTTGTTTCCTATAAAAGAAATTCAATCCATCGCAGATGCTTACTACACTAGAACGAAACAATCGTACAATACCCTGTAACTTTCAATAGTATCTAAACTAATATCATATTAGTAACATAAATGATCTGTTAAAATCTTAAATCAATATTCTGTCCAATTTTGCCATTCTTATTTAAACCCAAACTTTGTACGAAAAAAAAAATCAAACTTGTTTCAAATAATCAATAAAAAATGTACAAGTCAGATAAATATAGAATGCTAATTTCGTTCATTTTCTCTCTCTGTCCCTCCCCCCTCTCCCTCTCTCTCTCTCTGTCAGACACCAGATGTAATATTTGTCACTGGGGCCGAAATTTTTAAATAAATTTGACTTTTATGTATCGGAATTTTATTTTTATTTCAGAAATGATACACACAAAAAAGAATCCACTTTTCTTTTTACTCTTTTTTTTTTAGAACTTTTTTACTGTTCAAATAAAGTTGCAAACGAAAGCAATTTCTTCGAATGTGTAACCATGCATGAATGTCTATGTGTGTGTGTGTGTGTGTGTTAACCAACAACTGAATCCCTGAAATTGTTCACCCTGTCATTAAATTAGCGGTTAATTTTCAATGAAATGATTCAGATTAAAGTTAACTTCAATTTGATTGTTAATAAGTATATGGTAATTAAATCTAAATTTTAGGACATTCAAATGACATACATAGTGCAATGTTAGTTTCAAGATAAACAAAATAAATTCTATAAATGAAGATAAATGGTAGCTAGCAGTAGAATCTAGGATACGCATTTTATCCTATTTGGGAGTTGTCATCTAGATGTATCTGCATCCTAGAGTCGATGTTCATTCCGGGACTCGAATCCAATATCGTTCGCTTCAAATATCATCGCGTTATCTGTTAGGTATGCAGAAGAATATACTAATAATCATCATGTTAAATCTACTGGTGTCCTTGGACGTTAAATGGACATTTCCATTGGTCGATATTCATTTCACCTGTCAAATATTGTACAAATGTTGTTTTTTATTTTATGGTACGATGTGGTCTGGTTGGTTTGTATATAAATAGAGTATGTCTGAAATATAATGATTCATATCTCAGAGGCTGTGACTTGCGTTCTGGACTCAACTGGCTGGTCTAGACAGGGAAGCGGGACAGATCGGGACTCTAGGTCGTCCTTACGTGTTTTACGTGTCACTGAATCGATCAATAAAACGCTGTGCATCTAACCTGCAGTCCATTCGTTACAACATTATCCACTTAGATACTGATTCCTGATAGCCACTAGTTGAGCAGTCCGATGGAGTTATAACTCATTTTGTATTCTTTGTTTGGATCTCCCTTTTTATGCTGAAATTGATCGATTGCAGTCGTAAACATTGATTCAAACAAACAATAAACTTTCGATTAATCCTAAACAATTTAACAATCACTGTTATCATAATCTAAATTCAATTAAAGAAGTGGTAAAAAGTAATAAAGACTGACTTCATATTGAATAGTATTCATAAATGTACTGTTTTACCAAAACTTCGGTGAGACTATAATTTATGGACGACAATTGAACGATATTAAACTGACCTTGAGAGTGGACACCTAGTGATTAGAACTAAATGACGGTTATAAACCAGTGTTAGGAATTAAAATTATGATTTACGGTTGATGGTTAAGGTTAGGCATTACATTTAAGGTTTTCATCACGAACTGTCATCAGATATAATGTTAAACCTCTATTTATCCAAATAGATGAATGAATTTCGCTCCAAAATCCGAGATGTGTTATCTTATATCTAATTGGTGTAAGCCACTTCTTCAGAGAATAAATGACCAGATCAATATCAAGGTCACATTTATTTCATTCTTGACATTGCACACATACACATAAAAATTTACATACATGTCAATTATAAATGACCTTAACCGGGATGATATGACATTGACTTGTTCAGATCTGTTTTTTCCCCGTTTGATCACATAATATTTTTGTATTGTTCCTTTGTACTATTTAAACTCTGAAGAAGTGGCTTACACTGAGTCACGAAATGTCAGAAAATCTAATTTTCTACTCATTCACATATCCACATATATATTACTTTTATTTCATTTATAACAATCTACCCAATGCCTAATCAAGTCAAACCTCAGTAACGATATCTACAATGTCATCATTAGTTACAATTATAATCTTTACTATATAGATCTATTCGAATGAAACCAGTAAATGAAGCAGTACTAAGTATAAATAACTTACCATATAAGTTAAATATGAAATTTTTGGTAAACTTTGTGTAATCACATATTTAAATGTGACACTGGTCAGAATTAATGTAAATGATAAACGTAGACGAAGTTCTGCTTTATCCGGTGAAACAGCAAATGTAGCAAATGCCAAACCAGAAATCATGAACTGAATAAAAGAAGTAAATAGTTTTATCATTCGAATTGTTTGTAAAGATAATGAAACATTGAAATGAATGAAACAGGATCCAAGAATTACATTGATAATCATAATATAACTTCAATAAGAACTTGTAATCAAAAGGTAGTATCATTCAAAATGTACCTACTTGAGAAATGGCTCATCGAAATTCGTTACTTAAATCAATAACGAGAAATTATAAATGTTCCTAATACTATCATACTTGATGAACAATTTAGTGAGCATTTAGACTCAGTAGACTAGTTGAGAGTCATTTAAAGGGATAGGTATTGTGTTGGGGTTCCAAAATGAAGATCAAAACAATGATGTAAGTAGTAAGTACCTAATAGAACAAGACACATATCCTTGATTCCACAATCTGACATCTGAATAATGTACAATCTTTTCAAAGTATATTGCTAGCAACCACAATGTCTCTGATTGTACTCTTTCTCACTTGTATAGCGAAACGTCGTGAACTTTTCTCAAATCCACATGAATAGGTTGTGCAATTAAGTGACTTTATGATCTGTTGAAACAAAACAAAATACAGATAAATTCACTTGATGTTGTTTTACTTGTATCTTCCCATTGTTATTTAGTACTGTAAACAATCAGTCTCATGTTGGCATATGTGCATCCTGTACGAATTTCAGGTATAACCAGCTCACAATTCCCAAATAGAACGAAACAAAGATCCTGGATTCCACCGATAGCCACTATCTATCTTTGCTTAAAAATACAGATAACTTGTTGAAATATCTAAATTGCAGGAACAGGTAGCCCAGATATTTAATCAGGCTGCTTATCAGTTCATAAATCATTAGCTGATCTTCATTTTAATATGTGACCTGATGGTAGTGGCAAAGGATAACAGTTAAATATATATGCCATTATTCAATTAGCAATTTTAAGAATTTTTTTTTTCAGATTACATGGCAATTTAAATGTAGTTTAATTTGAATCAGTTCACAATATTGTGTAACTATCTTTCATTGTCTTCAGTGGATAAGTGCCTCCTTACATCCAACATGATTTCATTGAAATTTTATTTGTCTTAGCTGTCCATAGGATCTAATATCGAAATAATCATTTTAATATTGAATTATGTTTCCAAATATATGTTCATTCAAAAGTGGATAATCAAATTATTCAACATTCATTATCTTCTGTTATGTTTTAAATTTTATTAAAACTATTTCCGTCTGGAGCCCCCCTGGGGCTATTGCCAGCCGCAATCCCGGATAAACGAGGAGGGTTGAGCACGTGGTTAGCGACCTCATCCCGTAGAAAACTAAAAAAACGCTAACCAGAAAAATAATTTTGTTAAGACTGGGAATTGGAAATTTTTTTCGACTTTTGCATATATGATGAGTTGAAAAATTTGTTCATGTCTCTTTACTGAATGATCTTTTATCCGACTCATTGAAACAACCCAACTGTTTCCCCCCACATTCTATTTCAATTAAAATGGAATTAATATTGGCGCATCCACGATCCCGATCGCGGGATCCGAACTTAAGACCTATTAGTCTCGCCAGCGAGCGCTTAACCACTAGACCACTGAGCCGGCCGGCATCCAACAGTGGATGAGCACTGCTGAGAAGTCCCACAGTAGGACGAAACAGCCGTCTGGTGCTTCCAGGTTTTCCATGGTAGTCTAGCTTCAATCGACGAATGATCGCAACTATTGAAAGTACTACATTCTCCAAAAAACCCTTTCTGATAGAACAAACTAATCGAATTTATACTTTGAATACAGCGTTTAACTTTAGCAATGAGATATATCAACAGGTAGATTGTATAGTGATGAATCCATTACTAGCCAATTTCTTCATAGACAGCATTGAAATTAATAATCTAAGAACATGACAATTAATAAACTACTTTTGTATACTCAGTAAATTGATGACAAGTTCATTCATCATATATAATATATGTTATCTTACCATTATAAGAAATACATTCCAATAAAAATATCCAGGTCGTCTAGCTGCTCGACATGTTACCGATAAACATGGATGACTTTTCATTGAACTAGAATATTCTTGTTTAATAATTCGTTTTTTAATCTCTACATGTTCATGTAATTTCCATTCCTAAATTAAAAACAATAATCATAATAATTAAGTACTGACTTGAAAAGAAATACCATCGTCTGATTTTACTTTCTAAACGTTGATGAAAACAACTAACAGTAGAATGTGATGAGATAGCAAACTACAGTTCAGTGTTTGAACTAAAGAGATCTATTGAAAGAACACTTAAATTTATCAAGTCAAAAGTCATTTTCTGAAAGAAAACTATTCTGGTGTATTTATAGCGAGATTTTTTTTCTATAGGATAGGGTTGCCGACCTCATGCCTAACCCTCCATCTTTACCCGGTCTTAGAGCCACCAGTAACTCTAGAAGAGCTACAGGCAAGTTCGACCTTGGAGGAGGACCAAAGAACATATTACGTTGGGAAATAGAAGCAGATATGAAAAGGATGAAAAGCAACTGGAAACAACTAGAAAGGATTGCCCAGGATCGGGTTGAATGGAGAGTGCTGGTGGGCGGCCTATGCTCCTCCACGAGGAGTAGCAGATGTAAATTAGTAATTAAGTTCTAGTGGTGACTACACTCATCTATGCATTTGAGTTTTAATACCAATTTGTAGTTAAGTAAAAAGGTCTTAACCTTTTCGTTCATCAATTCTAACATATACCTTTATGGTTTAAGAAATGAATTATTAAATCCAAGAGTTAAACTGAACTTTTTCATTCTGTAGGATGGTAACCATCACATTTATTTTCATACCAGTTGCTCAGTAACTTAACAAGCTTTTAAAAATGACTCAAAGAAGCTTGAGTTCTAAATGTCATCATTTTGATTTCTCTGTTTTCTCTTGTTAAAGTCATTTTATTCTTAACTAAATGGGTTACATCATTTAATTATTACAACCTCCAATTTCAAATATTTATGTTTGGCTATGTGGTTAAACAAAAGTTTGATTAAGAAAGTGAACAGCTTAATATTGGTCTGTAGAGTGCAAACTGACCATAGTGTTAGTATAAACCAATCCTTTTCAATTATTTATATGGTCAGTAATATTTTGCCAAAGCTGGTCAGACTTAAATTCCTTCAAACGGCTAAAGCAATAGCCAAGCGGATTAAGAAACCGGAGCTATACGTACAAAAGAAATATTTTCAACCACTCCTATTTGGGACTCGTCAGCTCGGTGTACTTGCATCTCTGAGTTGATGTTCACTCTAGGACTCCAACCCAGTACCATTCGCTTCAAACGCCATCGCGTTATCCACTATCCATCGTTACTTATAAAGCTTGTGAATTAAGGCAATATCGAGGCAATACGCACAGTATGCACATATGCCAACAACAGACTGATTAATTACAGTCTTAAACCTCAATGGGAAGATTCAAGCAAAACAATACCAAGTGAATAATAATATTAGTAATAGTAAAAAGATTTGTGAATAAACATAACAGAGACAGTTGTAATTGACAACGAAAGTTCGTAACTACAGTAGTCGAATTAGATCATTGAATAGCTAAGATTACTATTTGATTAATTGGCCTTGAGGTTAACTAGAGGAGAAGGAGCGGTTGAAAACATTCATTCTGTACGTATAGCTCCGGTTTCTTAATTCGCTTGGCTATCGCTTTAGCCGTTTGAAGAACTTTAAGTCTGACCAGCTTTGGCAAAATACTACTGACCTATACCTATACTAACACTATGGTCAGTTTGCACTACATGGACCAAAATCAAACTGTTCACTTTCTTCATCAAACCTTTGTTTAGCCAATTTTATTGTATATTGTTTAACAGTCCTAAGTTCACATGCTTTCACTTTAAACGATGTACTTTACCCTTAACCTGACCAATTTTCGGATTATTAATTTGGATATATGAATTGTAGAACTTAAAGAGAATTGATCGAAAAGGATATTCTTCATTCACTATATAATAGTCTTTTAATATGATGGGAATCTTTAAATGATTTATGTTTTTTCTCTATTAATAGTTTTATAAATATTCAGGTTACCAACGATATAAAATTCCCTATTGATTAGTTTAATGGAAATATTACTTCTATACTTTATACTGACATTTAAAAAAATAGTTAAGATCATGAGTCAATTGAAGCTAGATCACTATGGAAAACCTGGAAGCACTGGACGGCCGCTTCATCCTATTGTGCGACTCCTCAGCAGTACGCATCCACGACCCCGCCTCGTGGGATTCAAAACTAAAACCTATCAGTCTCGTGCTCGAGCGCTTAAACTGGAGTTCTAGTGAAAAACAGTGTCCAATGAAGTTCAACCGGGTCAGTCGTGAGATAGTAAATCACTGAAAACAATGATGGACGGTGGCTCAATTTTGTGTTAGACATTAACACTGTTGGATGCCAGCCGGCTCAATGGTTTAGAGTTTAAGGGTTGGTGCACGAAACTGATAGTTCATGGGTTCGAACCTCTCGGGGCGGGATCATGAATGCGCACTGCTGAGGGGTCCCATAATAGGACGAAACGGCCGTCCATTGATTCCAGGTTTTCCATGATCATCTAAGTTCAATTAACTCATGAAGTTAACTATAAATACACTAAAATCTACACAAAACCCTTTTTCTGATATTAATTAAAAGGTTCAAAATTAACCCCTATCTAATTATCAGATCATACCATAATGATAATGTAATGCTCTTCCAAATACCATGTTTCTAAAATGAACTAATTCTTCATAAATTGTCAGAAAAGTAGTAATCATTCATTGTTGTTTCTGTTGTTCTTCAATGTAAACACAGCATGCCTAATGTGTTGTTTTTTTTTCTAATTGTTTGTTTAACATTACACTAATCTATAAAGTTGATTATTCATTCAAATGTCAAAGATTACAAACAATACAAAGTAAAACAAAACAAAAAGGGAAGTATGTTGCATTATACTACTTAATATAAAACACAATAACAAGAGATCTGTCAAGAATAAACAAAAAACACATTCTATTATTTAATTATAAACAAGAAAAAATGTGAGTAATTAGTAAATGAAAGGTGTATACTACTACTACCAAGAACAACAACAACAACAACAACAACAACGGCAACGACCACGACGACAACGACAATCTGTAGTAATTTGTTTACAATAACCGGTTTCATTAAAAGTTCATTACTCCCAAAAACACATTTGTTTTTCATTACTACTATTGAACATGTTTACCACCTTTCAATAAGAAGTAATAAAGTGTAAAGCTAAATTGTTTTGATTTCTTATAATATCAGGTAAATCTATGTGTGTGTGTTTATTCATTAAAATAATGTAACGTTAATTATATTTGGTATTCAATACATAAGACTTATTTTGTTTATTTATAGTTAAGTAATGTAAACATTATAAGTTATATGGAGGAACATGTACATGTTTTTATGTTGGCTTAACCTACAGGTGAATTCAATTTAATAATAAATAAGTAAAATAAAAACACTTTTAGAAAGAGGATACAATACAAATGATGATATTTCATTTGAATTTGTTATTGAATTCAGTCAGTCAGTCAGTCAGTCAGTAACAATGTAGAACTTCGTACGTACGTACGTACATTAGTTCGAGTTGCCATGCCACATTAGCACAGAGATGCAGTTGTCGATTCAAATCCCGTAGTGGTAGAGGTAGTAAGAGTATAAGCAGTAATCTGAAAGATTAGGGTTTTGAGATGTTATTTAAAGAGTATAATACAGTGAAATAAATTTGGGAATAGAAAAAAGAGACAAGGAGGAATCAGGTGATCAAAATTTGGGAGAACACAAAGAGTGTATGCACCTGAGCCATTGCAAACGATTTTGAGCCATGTCATTCAAGGTCTCTTATCATCGGTTGCTATCACCTCGCGGTCCCCAACTAGGTAGTCTACACCTACCAACATGACTCAGTCCACTTGTCAGTGACTTCATGAACTTGTTATTGAATTGATATTATTGGGTTACTATGCAAATTGATTAAGAACACAAAACGCCGAAAAATGGAGAAAGACAGACAGACAGACAGACATAAGAAGAATGAACAACAATTGGATAGAACCAGAAAGGAAGATTCAGGACAGAATATGTTGGAGAATGTTGGTCGGCGGCTTATGCTTCATTAGAGTAACAGATGTAAGTGAGTAAGTTTGCAAGTTGATGAAACATTAAAACAATAATATCACTAAGTAGAAATATTCTTTAGATAATATTACATAACAATAATAATATAGCAAAAATATCGACGAAACTATAATTTATGCACGTACCGATCACATCTCGCATTTTGGCGCGAAGTTCACTCATCCATTTGGATAAATAGAGTTTTGCCATTATAACTGATATCAGTTCGTGATGAAAACCATAAATCTAATTCCTAGCCTTAATCATCAACTGTAAATCATAATTCTAATTCCTCACAATGATTTATAACCCTCATTTAGTCATATTTATTAGGTGGACACTCTCAAGGTCAGTCCAGTGTCGCTCAAAGGTCGTTCATAAATTATAGTCTCACAAAAATATATATGAAACAGATAAGAGGATTAACAGATGAGAGTCTCGAGTGCTGTTAGAGGTATGAGGGCGGTTATCACTTCTCGGTTGCCCACACCGAGGAAGAGTTCTTCTAGAGGTACCTGAAAAGGAAATTGGATTAAAGGTGGTCTCAGTGATTTGAGAGCGTGACCGCAGTGCCCAAGGGACAACTGCTTGAGGCCGGTCGCGCACGGCCTTTTCGTGGGAGTTTTTAATGTGTTGGCTCCGTTCTTCAAAGGGCCTTACCGCTGGAGACGGAAATTCGTGAGGTAAGGTGAGGTGTGCATTTTTAGGATCGACCTTTTCTAACCCCATCCCTCCTTGTGGGAAGGCAGCATCGCTGTCATGCTGGTCGTCTGAAGGAAATACCTTACTGCTGTCACACCTCTGTACAGTCAGCAGTACGACTTCGCCTTCGGACCTTGGGTTTGTTGCTTTTAGTCTTACCGCTCTTCAACCGACCTGTTGACATGGTAGGAACTTGAGGAACGGTTGTTCCAGCCAGTATAGCTCGGTTGCTTCATCACGATAGGCAACCCC